TCTATTCTATTCTATTCTATTCTATTCTATTCTATTCTATTCTATTCTATTCTATTCTATTCTCTACCCTACCCTATCCTATCCTTCTTAATTCTACTCTATTCTTTCATTATCTCCTCCCCCTCCCCCCTCTCCTCTTCCTCTTCCTCTTCCCCTATTCTATTCCACCCCCCTTTTCCTTTCCTTTCCCTTCCCGCGAGGCGCTCCCTGGGCTGACCCCGGCGGCAGCCAGTTGCGGAGGAAGGAGGGCGAGCGAGCGAGCGAGCGCGCGGAGAGGGGTGGGTGGAGGGTGGACAGGCCCGCCTATCTTCCCCCCCCCCCCCCCCCCCCCCCCCGGCAAACCCCCCGGCCGCGCGCGCCACCCCCCCCCCCCCCCCCCCCCCCCGCCCCCCCCCCCCCGCTCGCTCCGGCTGCCCACCGGAGGGGAAAAGCGGAGCGGAGCCTCTAAGGCAGGACTGGAAGAGCGCTGGGTTTTTTTTCCTCCCCCCTCCCAGCGCCGAGGGGAGGGGTCCCACGTCGGAGGATTGGTTAACTGGCGATTGGCTAATTGAGTGACACTTGTAGCCCGGGTGGGTGGGGGGAGGGAAGGGAGGGAGGGAGGTCTGAAGAAGAAGAAAAAAGAAAAAAAGAAAAAAGAATGGGGAATTTTAAGTGGCCGCGGATTGGCTGGCGGCGGTAAAAGAGCTCCGAAACTCCGGGGGAGAAAGTGCTCCCAGCGCTCTCGGGATCCGCCGAGCAGGCAGGCAGGGAGGCTGAGCTGGGCTGCCCCGCCACCGGTGAGGCCACTTAGACGCTCCGCAGGCTTTGGATTCCAGCGGGGGCCCGTTTGCTCCCAATTCGGGTCCCCCCTGTTTTTTTGTTTTTATAATTTTGGGGGGTGGGTGGGTTTTGCAACCTTCATAAGAAGCCAGGCGGGCGGAGGAGTTTGCAACCTCTCTCCGCTGTCTTTGCAACCTCTCTCTCCTCCTCCCATCCTCCCAGGCATGGGCGCCCTGGCTTTTCCCCCGCGGGGTCCCCGCTGGGATGCCCCGAGGATGCTCCTCTGGGCATCCTGGGCCGTCTCCTTCCTCCTCCTCCTCCTCCTCCTGCCCGGCTTGGCCGGGGCCAACGAGTACGACTACGTCAGCTTCCAGTCGGACATCAGCTCCTACCAAAGCGGACGCTTCTACACCAAACCCCCGCAGTGCGTGGCCATCCCGGCCGACCTGCGGCTCTGCCACAGCGTGGGCTACGACAAGATGGTCTTGCCCAACCTCCTGGACCACGAGACCATGGCCGAGGTCAAGCAGCAGGCCAGCAGCTGGGTGCCCTTGCTCAACAAGAACTGTCACTTCGGCACCCAGCTCTTCCTTTGTTCCCTCTTCGCCCCCATCTGCTTGGACCGGCCCATCTACCCCTGCCGCTGGCTCTGCGAGGCCGTGCGCGACTCCTGCGAGCCCGTCATGCAGTTCTTCGGCTTCTACTGGCCCGAGATGCTCAAGTGCGACCAGTTCCCCCAGGACGAGGTCTGCATCGCCATGACCGCCCCCAACGCCACGGAGGCCTCCAAGCCCCAAGGTGAGAGCGCTCGAGTCCCTGGGCTTTCGCACCCTCGTGGTTTGTAGGGACTGTGTGTTTCCCGGGGAGGAGGATTTGATTGCTCGGGTAGCCTGTGGCTATTGTTAAGGGCTGTACCTGGCGATTCTTCATGAATCTATTTTTTTCTTTTATGTACACTGAGCGCATTTGCATCAAGACAAATTACTTGTGTGTCCAATCACACCTGGCCAATAAAGAATTCTACTCTACTCTACTCTACCTCTACCTCTACCTCTACCTCTACCATACCCCTACCCCTATTCCGTTCCGTTCCATTCCATTCCATTCCATTCCATTCCATTCCATTCCATTCCATTCCATTCCATTCCATTCTATTCTATTCTATTCTATTCTATTCTATTCTATTCTACTCTACCTCTACTCTACTCTACTCTACCATACCCCTACCCCTATTCCACTCCACTCCACTCCACTCCATTCCATTCCATTCCATTCCATTCCATTCTATTCTATTCTATTCTATTCTATTCTTAGAATCAACTCAAGAGATGGTCCTGCTGGGAAGCCGACGTGAGATGGTAGCTCCTGGTGGCCAACTTAGGGTGAGACCCAAGAAGGCCTTCTGAACATTTAGGGAGAACCCATAATATGATGATCCAAATGGGTCCCATCTTCCCATTGTAGAATCTGTATTGCAGGCTAATTCTGCCAACTGCCAGGAGTTCGATCCTGACCGGCTCAAGGTTGACTCAGCCTTCCGACCTTTGGAGGTTGGTAAAATGAGGACCCAGATTGTTGTGGGGGGCAAGAGGCTGACTCTGTAAGCCGCTTAGAGAGGGCTGGAAAAGCACTGTGAAGCAGTAAATACATCTAAATGCTATTGCTTAGGAAGGAAGGAAGGAAGGAAGGAAGGAAGGAAGGAAGGAAGGAAGG